AAGCCACAGGTTATCTCCATCACTATGCTTCTACCCAGCTACTCCCATAGGTGCAGTAGAGCCTGAGGAATACTTTCAGGCATGGGAAACCCAACTGTTGGCCAACGTTGGACTTGCCTTGCCAGTACAACCTGTAACTTAGTCAGCTTCTGGCCTGTTGGCTTCCAATCAATGCCATGGACTCGCAAGCTTCTGGAAAGCAGCTGAATTGAGAGCACTCACCCCAGCCCTTTCCCCAGTCTCCTCTCTTCTCCCACACCTCTGCCTTTCGGCTGCTGGTACTAAGTCAGGGGAAAGCCTCCCAATTTCACTCCAAACATTCTCCCCATTACTGATAAAGTGGAAAGAGCCCTGGACATAGATGTGCTCCCAGAATGGCTTTGGGAACATCTCTTCCCCTCTCTGGCCTCAGTTGCCTTTTCAGTGAAATGGAACTGGTGATACCAGCCTCACAATGTTGCCATAAGAATGACATGGGATCGTATAGGATAAAGAGCCCATCACCATCCCTGGAACATAGGATGGTCTCTGTTCAGGTATGTGACCCTGACTGCCTGAAATCCCACCGTGAAGAGTGTGCCCTGTGGGTGAGCCTTACTCCCTTCCTTCCAGGCTTCTTTTAAAGTGCAGATGCCCCTGGGAGGGGGACACAGAAGTCACTGGTCCCTCAAGGCATCAGAGGCTGTGCAGATGTTTCCTCCCATGCTGAACTGAGATGATGAAGCCCAACAGGGGGAGGGGAGGGGTCTGGGCATGAGGGGCCCAGGCTGGCTGCCCAAACACACCTGCCTTCCCAGAATCATCTGTCACTCCCTTCCTGGCCCACTGAGCTCCCTGCTATTCTAAACGTTCGGCCAATCCTGCCTTGATCAAACAGGCAGAGGATCACAGCCACCATGTGAGCCTGTGGATGAGGTCACTTCCCACCCAACTGTGAGCCTGTGGGGGTAGGGAGAGTCAGAGATGAGGTTACAAGGGCTGGAAAATAGGTTCTAAGAAGCATGTCATTGTGTCTGTCTGTGGAATGTCAAAGAGCTGTAAATTACCCAGAATCCTCCAATAAGGGGTGCTGAAATGAAATATGACACCTACATAGAATGGAATACTATGCAGCCCTTACAAAGAATGCAGCAGGGCATGGCCAGAGGTCTTGGGTGCAAGCAACAGACACACCAAGCCTGGCTCGCTAAGCAGAAAGGGCTCTATTGGAAGGCTAACGAGAGGACCATTTCACAACGCTAGGGGGCACCATTCACACTGTGTTCTGAGTATACGCCTCTCTCCCACCAAGACTTTCGAAACTGTGCAACTTGGAAGCCTTGCCAGGATATCACGTAGTTTGTGGAAATAAAAGAAACCAAGAAAATCGGCCAAGGTCACCAGCAAGAATCATCTGGTTAGGGCTCCATCAACGGACTCTCAATACAGTAAGTCCATACATACGAACAAGTTCCGTTCTGAGAGTGCGTTCCTAAGTCCAATTTGTTCGTAAGTCCAACAAAGTTAGCCTAGGTACCCAATTAACATGATCGGTTGTATAGTACTGTACTGTAATAGGTTTATAATACTTTTCACACAAATAATACATAAAAAACAAACACAGAAATAAAGAAAACATTTTTAACCTTACAGTACAGTACCTTGAAAAGTACAGTAGTACAGTACAACAGCTGGCATACGGGGCTGGCATCGAGTGAACAGGCAAGAAAAGTTACTGACTGGAGGAGGGAGAGGAGGTGGGAGATGGTAGAGCCGAAGGATCGTCAGCAACAGGAGACGGAGGGCAAGCTGCCATTTCACTCACGCCTGACGTTGATGGCTTAGGTTCTGCTTCCTTGCTGGATTCAATTCTATCTGCCCCCTTGAAAAAGTGATCCAGTGATGTCTGGGTGGTAGCTCGTTTTTTCTCTTCATAGATGACACGGTAGCACTGGATCGCATTCTGAATGGCTGCTGTAACCTTCGTGTACCATTCTACGTTCGGGTCCTGTGACTCAAAAACTAACAGTGCCGGGCTTCCCTGGTGGCTCAGTGGTTAAGAATCTGCCTGTCCCCAATGCAGGGGCAGGGGTTCAAGCCCTGGTCCAGGAAGACCCCACATGCCGCAGAGCAACTAAGCCCGTGCGCCACAACTGCTGAGCCTGTGCTGTAGAACCCACAAGCCACAGCTACTGAGCCCATGTGCCACAACTACTGAAGCCCGTGTGTCTGGAGCCCGTGCTCTGCAACAAGAGAAGCCACCACAATGAGAAGCCCGCGTACCACCGTGAAGAGTAGCCCTTGCTCGCCACAACTGGAGAAAGCCCGTGCACAGCAACAAAGACCCAACGCAGCCAAAAATAAACAAGTAAATTTATAAAACAAACAAACAAACAAAAAAACCAACAAAAAACTAACAGTGCCTCCTCAAATAAAGAAAATTCCCTTGCCGCTTCCTGTGTTGTGAACCTCTGGGGTTCTTCAGTTACTTCTTCTTCCTCTTGTCGCTCCACTCTCTCAATTATTTTCACTTTTGTTTCCATCATTATCACTCGGCACTCCTTAGCAGTACCAGCTACAACACTGCTGCTTTTACGCTTGCTTCTGGACATCCTGGGCTACTGCACAGTACTGTACAATAAAGTTCACGAAAGCACAACCACTTGTACGGGATGCATGCATGGACAATGTACGCCAGACACATGAACTAACTTACGTGATTGGACATGCGAACACACGTTCGCATCTTTGAAAGTTCACAACTTGAAGGTTTATATGTAGGGGACTTACTGTACTATCACTGCACTGTCTTGAATGACTTCCCAACTGTCCCTGAACCTTGGCCTTGTTCCCTCAAGACTCATAGTCCAAGGAGAAAGCATGGAGTTTATTAAACCCCAGCTGTGCATTTTTGTTTTTTGCATTTTGTACATACGATGTACCAAGCGGAGTTCTAAGAATATAAAATGGATTATCTCATTCAATCCTCACAAAAACCCAGTGGCATCGGGAATACTATCCTCTCCATTATACAGATGAGAAAACTGGGTCTCCTTTGACAGAAGCACAGAGAAATTCAGAAACTTGCCTAAGGTCACACAGCTCATGGCAGAGCTGGGATTCGGATAGGCAGTCTGGCTCCCATGTCTGTGCTTTTAACAGCTGCACTGTGCTCTCATGCCCACATTCTAGCTTCCAAAGAGTGGATAAGGGAGTTCTGCCTCCTGCAGCCTCCCCAAAAGAGAATCAGGAAATGGACAAGGGAACCAGCCCTTGTCAATACCTACACACAGTTAGTAAATAGCAGGGCTGGTCTTCCAATCCAGGGGTGTGTGGTCACTGCCTAGGAAATGAAGCAGCTTCTAGGCTGGGGTGGTAGGGTCCGCCAGAGTCGGGGGAGGGGTGTGAAGGGGGAGGAGGGTCTTTCGGAGAAGGGCAGGCCTGGCTCAGCACAAGTGCCAGCCCCCAAGGCCTGTAAGGGCTCTGGGACCCAACTCCAAATCAGAGCTCCAGGCGCCATCCAGTGGCTACTGTGGAGATTACAGGAGAAGAGCAGGCGAGAAAAGAAACCCCACGGAAGACAGTCCTGGCCAGCTCCAGGGAGGAGGCCTCACCTTTGCCTCAGTGCCACCCCATCGTTGAAGTCCCTGTTACAGTCAGACCCCCGGTTCTCTCACTGTGATCTTGGGCAGACAACTCTGCCCTCTAGGCCTGGTTTCCCGGCCGCAAAACAAAGGGTTTGGACGGGCACTTTTGCTCATCTGACCCTCAGGTCCAGGTGAGACCTCAATCATCCTGTCATCCTGTAGGTTAAGGTTTGGCTGGAAGTCCCCTCCTCTGTGATTTCTCCCTCCTTACCCGCCCTTTGCTCCATCCCTTCACCTGAAGGGTCCTCTTTCTGTTATAGTCAGGTGGACTTTACCCCCTCCAGCCCTGGGCTCCCCCAGCTCGGGGGCTTTTCTCAATCATCTTTCTCCCTCCTCGCCATGGCCAGTGAGGGGCCAGGCATGTGCGTGCTTGGAAGTGCCTGCTCTGAGCTCTGTCCTCCTGGCTTCAAGTCCTGTGTGGTAGGCAGAATAATGCACACGCACGCACACACCCAAAGATGTCCACATCTTAATCTCTGGAACCTGTGAATATGTTACCTTACATGGCAAAGAGCATTTGCAGACGTGATGAAGAGCTTGAGATGGAGAGATTATCATGGACTATCTGGGTCAGCCCAGTATAATCACAAGGGTTCTTATGCAACAGAGACAGGAAGGTCAGAGTCAGAGAAGGCGGTATGATGCCCAAAGCAGAGGTTGAGGTGATGAGAGGAATTCGGTAGTCTCTAGAAGCTGGAAAGGGCAAGGAAACAATTGTTTCCAGAAGGAATGTAGCCTTGCCAGCCCCTTTTAGACTGCTAATCTCAAAAACTATTTGTGTGTTTTTTAAGCCACTAAATTTGTGGTGATGTTACAGTAGCCACAGGAAATGAAAACACACGGGTTCAGCTTCTTTTTTTTAAATCATTTTTATTTGTTTTATTTATTTGTTTATTTATGGCTGCGTTGGGTCTTTGTTGCTGCGCGAGCGGCGAGCGGGGGCTACTCTTCATTGTGGTGCACGGGGTTCTCGTTGCAGTGGCTTGTCTTGTTGCGGAGCACAGGCTCTAGGTGCACGGGCTTCAGTAGTTGTGGCACACGGGCTCATCAGTTGTGGCTCATGGCTCTAGAGCACAGGCTCACTAGTTGTGGCACACGGGCTTAGTTGCTCCGCAGCACGTGGGATTTTCCCAGATCAGGGCTCGAACCCGTGTCCCCTGCATTGGCAGGCGGATTCCTAACCATTGCGCTACCAGGGAAGCCCTGGTTCATCTTCTTACTTGTCATGTGACTCTGGGAAACTTAACCTCTCTTTGACTCAGTTTCCTTGTCTGTAAAAGGGAGTGATAAAGGCAATAATTCCTACCTCACAAGGCTATGAGGATAAAATGAAAATACCTGCAAATCACTTTGAATAATGCCCAAGACTAAACATGTTAGCTATTAATAGTTAAAAGCTGCCATCTGAGAGCCTAATACGTAGTACCAGGCACAAGGTCAGATGCCTTAGAATAATTTCCTCCATTCTCACCATCACCCTTGGGCATAACGATTTCAATCCCCATTTTACACATAAGGAAACAAACCCAGAGTAATTTGCCCATAATCACTCTAGGACTGGAAGTATTTTCATCTTTGCACTTGGGAAATTGTACCAGTTTGTGCTCTTTACCTAAAGAGGATTCGTTTTTATTTTGTTTTTTTGGAGGTAAAACACAGGCTGGGAAGGCTACTCTGGGCCAGAGGTCCTGGCTGACACCCCCTCCTTTTCCTATCTAGTGCAGGGAGATAAAATCCAGGCGAAACTCACCTATCCTCCCCGCTCCCGTCCCTTTAGGGGATTCGATTACCGCCTCCCGCTTCTCGCCAACACCCCCGCCCCCGCCCCGCCCAGTTCGAACAGTTTTTGAGCCAGACCCCGGGACACCAGGAGATAGGCACGGCCAGAGAGCGAGGTGTCCGATCCGCTGGGGGATGGAGGGGCGCAGACTTGCCCAGACCCCCAGGGTACCCGTGGAGCCCCCTCCCTTCCCGCAGCCTGCATAAGGAGCCATCTGTTCTCAGCTGAATAAACAAGCGGGGGGAAGCAGCTCCCGGTCCCCTGCCCCCCGGCCCGACCCCCGCACAATGCGCCTTTCTCCGAGGAGACGCCGCCCGGGCGCCGCCGGAGCGCGCTCCGTCTGGCCTCCCCTCCGCCTGGCGGCACAGCAAGACACGCACACCGACCCCGTGGAAACCAGATTTTTTTGTTCTTTTTTTTTTTTTTTTGTAAGAAAAAGAAAACAAAAAAAGAAATCCTACAAAGAACTGAGCGCAGCACGCGTCCCCCACATCCCCTCCCACGATCCCCCGCAGTCCGGCTTCTGGTCCAGGCGAGGCCAGCTCGATCGCAGCGCTGGAAGCCCGCCAGCGCCTCCCCCCCGACAGCCCAAGCCTGGGGGACCCAGCTTCTGCCCGGCCCCAGCGCCCGGAAGGCGCACGAGGGGGCCCAGTCCGCGGGGCCGCCCCCCTTGCCCGGGTCCGGGCCACCCGCGGCCCTCACTTCTGGGTGGCCAGTTGGTTCTCCACATCCTCCAGGCGCGCCGTCAGCTGGGCCAGTGAGCGGTTAAGGAAGCCACCGGGGCTCGCGGGGGTCCCTTCTCCCCTCCAGTCCGCGCCCCTGGACCCAAAGGATATGATTCTGCGACAGACTCTCGAGCGCCCCCAGCGTGCGGCCCTGGAACTCCACAAGACTTTCGCACTCGCAGGGGCTCCGAAGCTCTGTCCCCGCTCTGATGCCCTCCTCTGGCAGCCGGGCACAGAGAGTGGGGGAGTGAGAAGCTGGAGGAGGACCAACCAGCCCTGGCTGAGGCTCTCCGATATCCCTCCACCCGGCCTACGGCTGAGTGTTCGGGTTTGGGATTTGGACAGACCTGGGATGAGTACCAGCTAGGTAGCTGTGAGATATTGGAAAACCCCCTCCACCTTTCTAAGCCTTAGTTTCCTTACCTGTAAAAATGGATACAATGAGAACACCTTTTCGTCCGGCGGTGCTCAGGATTCAGTGATTTTCGTGTGTGTACACATCTTAGAAGGTTTCTCAAACCTTGATGCTCATTGGAATCACCAGATCTTGTTAAAATATAGATTCTTGTTCTTAACAGGGAAGGGGCTGAGACACTGCATTTCTAATAAACTCCCAAGTGATGCTGCTGCTGGTCTGTGGACCACACTTTGAGTAGCAAGAGTCCACAGCAGCACTGTCCAAATGAAACTTTATGTAGTGAAGGAAATGTTCTGTATCTGCCTTGTCCAGTGCGGTAGCCACAAGACACAGGCGGTTATTCAACACTTGAAATGTGGCTAGTGCACCTGAGGAACTAAATTATTTAATTTAATGTAATTTAATTTAAATGGGTGTATGTAGCTAGTGGCTACCTTATTGGAGGGTGCAGATCTAGAGCATTTCCTGATGCAAGGAAACACTTTATAGGGTATTTCAACCAGGCCAATGGTTCTCCAAGTGTGGTCCCTGAACCGGCAGCATCGGCAACGCCTAGGAAGTTATTAGCAATGCAAATGATCAGATTCCACCCCAGACCTACTGAGTCAGAAACTCTGGGGTTGGAGCCGACAATTTGTGTTTTAACAAACCTTCCAGGTGAGTCTGATGCACACTAATGTTTAAGAACCACTGATCCAGGGGACTTCCCTGGTGGTCCAGTGGTTAAGAATCCCCCTTCCAATGCAGGGGACATGGGGTTAGATCCCTGGTGGGGGAACTAAGATCCCACATGTCGCAGGGCAGGGGGGGAATAAGCCCGTGTGCCACAACTACAGAGCCTGTGCGCTGCAACATAAGATCCCATGAGCCCCACGCAGCCAAAAATAAAAAATAAAATAAATAAATATTTTTTTAAAAGACCCACTGATCCAAGTCTATTTCCTCATACATTTCAACATCTCTGAAATCCAAATAGTTGCCTTACAATTAAATTTGGCATCCTTTTTTTCTTAGCAGTATAGAAAATAATGAATCTTACAAGGGATGGTATCTTAGATTCACTGAATTCTGTAAACGTGTGCCATTTTTAATATTACAGTACAATGCCTGGCACTTGGCCTTCAATACAGAGTTGCTGTTATGATTTAAAAGTTATATCTTAGTCTGTATGTCATGTTTATCAATGGTATTGATAACAGGTCCAGAAAGGCTCCTAACTTTGCAGATGGGGAAATCAAGGAAATAAATATATATTAAATATATATACTTAATACACATCTTTGTGTACCTGAAACACACCCAGTCCTGCCGCTTTGCCAGGTCTGTAAAGTTGAATCCCAACAAGGTAAAGGGCTTATGATGTGGCTCCCCTCACCAATGCTGAGTTGGGCGTGCCTTTGAAAAAATTCCCCCCAAATTATTCTGAACGCCCACTAATTTGGGGAACAGGTAGTTTAGTCCAGTGCTTCTTACACTTTAACATAATGCTAATCCCCTGAGGGTCTCGTCAAAGTGCAAAACTGTATTCGGTAGGTCTGGAGAGCGCTGGAAATGCTGTAGTTTTAACAAACCACTAGGTGACAGCCCTGCCGCGGGTCCACGGACCACACTTTGAGTAAAGAGGCTCTGTCCAGCGAGCCCATCCCCTGGCTGTCACTCAACGAAGGGGGCGGGAACGAATAGGACCCGGAGATCTCGGAGGGTAGGCAGTGAGAGAATGGGAGGGGTCCCGAGACCGATGTGCTCACCCGGGCAGATGCTGCCTTTGAGGTTCTCCAGCAGGTGCGTCATGGTGCTGAAGTCGGGGGAGTAGGACACGTGCAGCTCCGCTGGCTCCGAGGCGATCTCTTGCAGCTCCTCCTCCACCGCCTTGCCTACGCCCACGGCGTACATGACGATGCCTGCAGCGTCGAGGGACTCAAGGGGGCACCCTAGGCCTCGGGAAAGCCGCCTCCCCGCATCCAACCCAACCTCAGGCCAGCGCGGCCCGCGCCAAGCCCACCTTCCTCCTTGGCGCGCGCCGCCCACACCGAGACGTCATCCTGGGAGCGGCCGTCGGTGAAGACCAGGCCCACGCGGGGCACGTTGAGCGCCCGGGGCCGCGCGCCCTGCGCCTCTGAAAAGCTGTGCTCCACCATGTGGCGCAGCGCAAGCCCGGTCATGGTGCCGCGCTCCATATACTCCACAGCCAGGACCGCCTGCTTCACCTCGGCCGCCGTGCCGTAGCGGCCCAGTGGGAACTCGGTGCGCACGCGGCTGGAGAACTGCACCAGCCCCACGCGCGTGCCTTCCGGGGACACGTCCAGGAAGTCCACGATCTGGTTCACGAAGCGCTTCACCAGCTCGAAGTTCTGCGGACGCACGCTCTTGGAGCCATCGACGAGCAGAACCAGGTCCACGTGGCCTTCCTGGCACCCTACGCCCACCCGAGCAGAAGAGCTGGGATTAAGGGATCAGATCCTTGGCTGGCAGCAGCCACCTGCTCATTCATTCACTTGCAAACATTTATTATATAACAGATACTATGTGTGAAGTCCTTCCTATGCCAGGCACTGTGCTAACTAATAATAATTATTATTATCATCAGTGGCATCATTATAATCTTTGCCATTTATTAAGCGCTTACCACAAGCCTGCTAAAAGCATCTTTTTAATCATCATCATCACAATAGCTACCATTTATTGATCATCTACTATGTATCAGACAGAATTCTAAACTTTACCACTACTAACAATAATAAATAAAAACAAAAACATTACTATCTGACAGCTTACCATGTACCAGGCACTGGGCTAGGTGCTTTATATATTTTTTCTCAATTCTCCCAATAACCTTGGGTATTATCCCCATTTTCTAAGAATCTGAGATTCTGAAGGATAAAGTCATTTATTTGCTCTGGATTCCACCACTAGTAGTGGCTGAGCCAGGATTTGAAGCCAGGTCTGTCTGACCCCAAAACCCAAGCTCTTAATCACTCAAGATTGCCTCCCCTGTTCTGAGACAGGGACCTTGCTAGGCCCTGAAGGAGGTTCGCCAATAAATGAAACATAATCCTGACCCATAGGATATCAGGATAGAGCAGAGCAGCGAGGCATGCCATTTGCTACCATCAAGGAAAGTGCTTGAATAGAGGGGCTTGCAGGGAGCAAGGTAGGGGTAATTCATTCTTCCTGGAGCTAGTGAGGAAGGCTGCATGGAGGTGGTGACATGTGATTTGATCTTCAGGGATGAGTAGGAGTTCTCCAAGGCATGAAGGGACATTCTAGATGTTGGGGGCAATGTGTGTGGAGGCATGGAAGCTGGGAGCCCTGGACACGTTTGGGAATGGGCAGGCCAGTATGGCTCAAATGTTCAAGTTTGTCAGGAGACAGGCTGATGGGGTTGGCTCAAGCTAGATTATAATGACCTAAGGCGGTGGTTTCAAAAATTTGACCACAACCCACAGTAAAAAAAATAATAATTAATAATAATAATGTAACAATACATCATGATGCACTTATACTCACATATAATTAAAACTAAGTTTCGTGAAACAATACTTACTCTTTCTACATCCATGCAGTAAACTCTATTTTCTCTCTCTCTTTTTAAAAAAATTTCTAGTTTTTAACCCACTAATTTGATTTTGTTATCCACTGTGGTTACACCCAGCATTTGTGTATCCACTGTGGTTACACCCGCCATTTGAAAAACTCAGGGGCAAGGCATTTGATCTTTATTTTGTAAGCACTGGTGAGCCACAGAAGGCTTTCGAGCAAGGGAGAAATGTGATCAAATATGTATTTTTGAAGTTAACCTTGGCAGCAGGGTAGAAGATTGAGGGGAAAGACATGGAGGCAGGGCATGGCACACCCTCCAACTCCACCACCACCAGCGCACACACACACACACACTCATACCACATTCTTGGGCCACAGCAAGGACAGGACAGAGTCAAGGATACTCAGAATGTGGGCAGTGGGTCAGAGGCAGACAGAACCCCCTCCCACCCATAACTCACGGCTGCAGCTCTTGCCATCTGCCTGGAGCTGCCACCGCTCAGGGCACAGGCAGCGATAGGAGAAGCCCTCACTCACGCACTGGAACTCGCATCCATGGTCTACGCCGTTGCAAAGGTCCTGGGCTTAAAGGAGAGACAAGACAGAGTCAGGGTGGACTCCACCAGCTAAGATCCCTCGTCGCTCTGCACAAACGCAGGAGACCCCTCCTCACCCTGACAGCTCCTGCCGTCGGGCAGCAAGTTGTAGCCCCCTCTGCAGCGGCACCGCGGCCCACCAAAGGTGCTAACACACTCATGCTGGCAGCTGTGGTTCCCAAAGCTGCAGTGGTCAATGGCTGGTGGGAAGGAAGAGACAGCAAGATGTCACTTCTGCCTGAAGCCATCAGAGACCTTGGTCCAGGTGCTAATTGGGGGGTTCGCTCACCCCTGCAGCTCCTCTGGTCCTGCTGGAGTACAAAGCCAGCTCGGCAGCGACAGAAATAGAAGCCCGGGGAGCTGACGCAGTGATGCTCACAGCCATGGGTCCCTTCAGTGCACAGGTCGAGGGCTGAGGAAGAGGTGAGGTCAGGCTATGCCCTGGGGCTGCCCTTGTCAGCCCTGACAGCACAACCACCTGGGGAGCTTTTTAAAAATACCTATGCCTGGACCCCAACCCCCCAAAATCCTGACTTAATAAGTCTGGGGTGGTACCCAGGCTTCTGTAATTCCTCCAAGCAAAGGCCCCCTTCCTACTGAGCCAAGCGGCCCTCCCAATTCAAGCTCCAGATGTACCCCAGTGGGCCCATGACTGAGCCAGGCATAAGAATGGGAATCCACAGTTGTAGAAGACAGGACCCCTGCCCTCAAAATGTTCACTAACGCACAGAGGAGGACCAGAGTTAGTGAGGCTCTGCCACTTTACCCGTCTGAGCCTCTATTTCCCCATCTGCAAAATGGGGATATAATGGAAGAGAACAGTTGTTATTTACAACTGCCTTCTGAGGAGGATGCACTATTGCCGCGCTGAGTATCTTCATGGTTTCGATGTGCAAATATGGCCTAGAGCTGAGCTGGGGAATAGGGGCTGGAGAGAGATGAGATGCCCTGCATTAAAGTGTGAGAATGTGGGGTTCCTAGAAAAGAGATGGGGAGTGGAGAGAGGAAAAAAAGGACAAGAGAGATGGTGTGGAGAGGATTTACTGTGGGTTGAGTTTGCCAATGGAAAATCCCCTATAGAGGGGTGACTGAGGACTTTCGGGATCAAGGGTGCCTAATATCCAATTATAAATAATGGGTGTTTCACTTAGATGTAAGTCGCACCTCTGTCCACCCCCCATCTTTAGTAAAATAGACGTATGCGCGACTTAACATATACACGCCCTTGTGTGCACAAGTGTGTCAACCAAGGAAGAGGCTGAGTTACACCCACAGGACGAGAACAGCACGTGTGGACTGAGAAACTGCGCGAGGACCCATAAATTGAATTCAGCAGAAGCTCAGAGCTAGAGGTGACCACAGGATGTAAGCACTTGGGGAATTCCCGGAGATCTTGGGAAGGGTTTTGAATGTTCACAGGTCATCAAATGGGGCTTCACGCCAGCCTTTTCTAAGCCCCAGAAACAAGAAGACCCCAGCTGACATCTGGGTTATTGGAAACACAGGACCTCTTTTTCCAGAATGTGGTGAGCTTGAGAGATGATGCATGTAACTAACGCTCCTAGCTTAATGTCTGATGCTAACCTGGCACACAGTAAATGACAGCTGCCGTTATGATCAAAGGATTGGACATATGTACACAGGGGGAAAATCTTAACTGTATAAGCAAGGCATTGTGTGTCATAGCTTTTCAGAAAGCAAACATGAAGAACAGGCCTTGAGAGATCTGCAGCTGCAAAGAGGAGTGGCAAGAGCAGCCCAGGTGAGCAGCCCGGAAAGAACTGAGATGCAGAAGCAGGAATGAGCAGCGTATATGGGGGTGGGGAATGTAGGAGATGTATGGAGACCCCAATTCTGTCAAGTAACAGAAACAGTAAGGATATGCCTGTGAAATTACACAAGTTTGGGAGCTGTTTTGAAGCCAGGTAGGAGATGAGCCTGAAAGAGGGGGGAGACAAGGCTATAGAAAATACACTTAACTGTATTAACTGTATGACCTCTGTGAGGTCAAGATTTCTAGCCCTGGTCCCACCAAGGACTTACATGACCCCAAGCGACACCTTCCCTTTCCTAGACTTGTAAAGTGAGGGAGCTGGACTTTGACCTTCAAAGGCCCTTCCAGACTCATTGTACTGATGCTAGGCCAATGGGGAGCCACAGAAGGCTCAGGAGCAGTGAGACTGGAGGGTGGGGGTAGCTCTCACCCAAACAGCTCTTGTCATCTGCTGCTAGCCGGTAGCCGGGGTTGCAGGCACAGTGGAACGTGCCGGGGGAGCTGACACATTGGTGCTGGCAGCCGTGTCCCCCCTCAGCACACAGGTCCTTTCCTGAGGACATACAAGAGTAGAATCAGCAGGGGACAGATGGGGAGAACCCTCCAACAAGAGAGAGCTGAATGAGGTCTGAGCAGACCCCATGCTCAAGGATGTCTTTAGATGGAATATGACTTGGTTGAGAGGGGCCAATACAGGTGGGAGGTCTTAGGGAAAGTATAGGTCCTCAGTGGCCCCTGTGAATAGGCTCGGAAGACAGGAGCACGGGGCCAGAGCTGTCAGTGGGATAAGGGAAGACTATACGGTGTAAAGTAGAGGAAGAAGAGAGATGCTAAATCAAGGTAAGCGGCATAACTCAAGGTGTGAGGAGAACAGATCGTGCAGCATTGTGGGAGGGGCTAAAACGAGAGGGGGAGGGGTCATCCCCAAGTGGGCGGGGCTTGACGCCCGAGTGGGCGATGGCTCTCAGCCTTGAGGGGTGGTGCTTCTTGTGTAGAGAGGCGGTTTTGGAGTTAGACATTAAGCCTGTGGTAAACCACAACAGCTCATCAAGGTACGCGGGCACGCTAAACGTTGCTCCTTGTGGGCGAAGCCTTGAGCAAAAATGGGCAGAGCTGGAATTCCCCACAACCCGCGGTAGGCCAGGGCAACTCCACGGCCTGTTGGGAGGGGCTAAAGATGGCGTGGGCGGGGCCAGCCGGGAGGGGGATAGGATTCACTGTGGTGGGAATGAGAATCGGAGCGGTTGGAGAGTTCGAGTCTCGCTCCAGCGCTCCCCTCACTCACGACACAGCCGGCGCTGGAACTGAAGGCCAAATTCCTGGATACGGTCGAAGGACTCGACGAGGAAGACGTGCTCGTCCAGCGGGGGGGACGCCATGGCGCGCAGGGAGGCCACGTCAGCGCGCTGAACCCCCACGGCGTAGATCTCGATGCCGCGGGCGCGCGCCTGCGCCGCCACTTCGGCCACACGATCCTGGGGCCGCCCGTCGGTCACGATTACAGCGACGCGCGGCACGCGCGCCTCCGGCGGGCGCGCACCCTCGGCCACACTGAAGGCCACGTTCATGGCGTACTGGATTGCCAGCCCGGTCATGGTGCCCTGCGCCAGTGGCACTAGAGTGCGGATGGCGCGCTCCATATCCTCGCGGCGTGAGAAGGTTCCGAGCGGGAAGACGCTCTGCACTTGACTCGAATACTGGATCACGCCGACGCGCGTGGCGTTGGGCCCCACGTCCAAGCTGCGGAGGAGGCTCACCAGGAACTGCCGCATCGTCTGGAACTCGAAGGGGCGCACACTGCGCGAGCTGTCAATCACGAACACCAAATCCAGGGGCCCAGTACGGCACCTGGGACCTGCGAGGAGATCAGGGAGGACTTTCCTAGGTTAGCCAAGCCTCACGTCCCGGGAGAACCCCACAGAAACCCAGGGCGGAATGGTGCTCTCACGGTGTAACAGCGCCCAGCACAGTCTTAACCTAGCAAATGCAGGTTAGCTCCATCCACTCACGCAGCATTTGAGGAGGGCCTGGACTGGGAGACTGCACCAAATCTCTATCCTACAGCTCTGAGGGCTATACTGAGGAGGTGTTATCCACTTGCGAGGAGGGCGAGGGGACGTCGCAAACTCAAATGCCTACAGGAGTTAGGCAGGCAATATAAATAAATATAAATAAATGAGTGAATGTGATGGGTTAGGACGGAGGACCCAGAGAGCCTCTATAGCTCATAAAGTGGGCAGCTCCAGACAAATGTTGCCTTGCAGCCGTGAGATCTGCCAACCCCATGTTGGCAGATCTTGGGTCTTTTCAAGAGAAGCCCAAAATTAGGGTTTTTATGTGAAATCTCCTGATTTTTTTCAATTAACTTAAAAAAATTAAACACCAACTGGACAGTTCTGCATGAGCCCAACTTGGGTACCTCCAAGCCACATCCTGCAGATGGGAAAGCTGAGGCCCAGAGAGTTGAAGCTGTGAACTCGAACCCAAGCGCTATGGTTCCAAAGCTCTTGTTTTGCTCTCCCCAGCAGGCAGTTGGCTGCAGATGGAGAACCTGCTTTTGCTCCCCTCCCCCTGCTTCTGAGGGCTGGGTTCTGGCTCACCTGCGAACTGGAGCTGGGTTTCCCAGGGCTGGAGAAGGAGCAGGAACATGGGCAGCTGCGAGCATAGACGCCCCCTCATCGCCCTCGGGGAACAGAGAACAGCGGTATCAGAGCCTGAAGGGAGGAAGGAAAATAGCAAAGCAGTAGAATTTGCAGAGTTCTTATTCTAGGTGATGGGCATTTTGAGGGGGAGGAGGGTCATGGGTTTATTTTACTAATCTCTCTAGTTTTGTGTATGTTGAAATTTTTCGTAATAAAAATATTTCATCACGGTGAGATTGCTGGAAACACAAGGAATTCTGCTTTGCAGAACTGCAGAATAGTAAATACATAGAAATGAAGAGTGGCCCCCGCTCGCCACAACTGGAGAAAGCCCTCGCGCAGAAATGAAGACCCAACACATACAAAAAAAAAAAAAAAAAAAGATACAGAATTTAAAAAGGAAAAGCCTTGGACTTCCCTGGTGGTCCAGTGGGTAAGACTCCGCGCTCCCAATTCAGGGGGCCTGGGTCTGATCCCTTGTCAGGGAACTAGATCCTGAATGCCACAACTAAGACCCAGTACAGCTAAATATATAAATATTAAAAATAAAATAAAATAAAAAGGAAAAGCCTTTCCTTAATGCCAGCCACGATGTTAAACGTTTTTCATGCATCGTGGCATTCATTGAACCCTCTCGACAATTCTATGGGTCTAAGGCTGTTGTTGTTCCCATCGCACAGATGAGGAAACAGGCTCAGAAAACTTCAGCGCTAGTACCCGAATTCGCGCGGCAAGAAAGTGGCTGCACCAGGATACAATCCTACGCCTGCGGGGTTCCGAGAACCAGCCCGCGTGAACCTTTGCAGAGGGAAACGATTCCCCACCGCACCCCCTCCTCTCTGCATACAAGGCGCCTCTGTGTGACTGTCCTCCCGCCCACCCCCCCAACCCACCCCACAGCCAAACAGGCACCGCCCCATTGCAGGCCTGCATCGCGTTGGTCTAAACCCTCCACGCAGATGAAGTCGCGACTTGGCGCCGCCCCTTCCCGCCAGCTCTCAGGAGAGGCCGCCAGGGGGCGCCTTCGCGCGTCTGGCTGTGTTGGCTAGGTGGCCGTGGGAAGCCCACATCTGCCCAGCAGGTGCCCCTGCCCAAAGCAAATAGGGGGCTGGGAGCCCCAGGGCCTTGGAGATAAGGCCCGGGCAGAATATATCCGGCGTTAGGGCCAAAGAGCAGAAGTGCGCAGGGTTCCGGGGACAGTGGCATTGGACGCGCCCCGGACGCGAGCCGGCCCGGGCCTCGGAGCGCAGCCATGGACCCTGTGGGGGCAGGTGAGCGCTCACTCTCCCGCGGCCCTTGGCGACGCCCCTTGAGAGTCATGAAGGACTCCCATTATACAGATGGGAAAAGTGAGGCCCAAGAAGGTGGCCCGCCGAGCTGCAAAGGAACCTAGGACTCCTGGCTTCCCTTCTCCCTTCTGAGCTGTCTGGCAACCTGGCCCCTAGGCGTCACCTCTTTTCCTTCCATTCGCTCCCTGGGTCCCTACCCCACCCCCACCCCCGCACCCCCTGCTGAAGCTGTGTTAGCCATTTTTCTGTTTCTGTTTCTTGGCAGAGGGGGCCAGCTGACCCTAATCCAACCGCAGCCCCGCCCCCTCCCCAATTCCGTGAATGGTCCTATTCTGAGCAAGGTCGGGTGCCTGGAGGGAGCGACAGGCGCCCTTCCCGTCCTGGATCCTCACCGTCTTCGCCTTTCAGGCCTGGTAGAGGAACAAAAATCCCTCTGGCAGGACCCATCGTGGGAGGGTGACTAAGCCAGATGTGCCAGCTGGAGGTGGGAGGGTGTGGAATGCCTTCTCCAGCTTGGGCCACAGTCAAGGCAGGCGAGCACCCTTGCGGAGTATGAGGGTAAAGGCACAGGGGCCTTCGCTGCCTCCCATCCGTTCCTACCTGCAGAAGCCTCTGAGCCCCCAAACCTTGATTAAGTTTCCCCTTATCTTGCTCTTGGCCTGAGCCAACATCTCGCCTGGCGCCCCACCTCCACACAATCCTAGAAAGTCGAAATAGTCCTTGCCTCAAAGTTCATCACCTTTCCAACCCCTCATTCTACAGAGGAAGAAAGCAGGACCAGAGAGGGTAATGTCTTGCCCGGGTCACACAGCAACGTGGCAAGGTGACAATGCTGACACTAGAACCCAGAGCGCCTCTGAGGCGGTTAATCATAGCTTTAAGAAGAAATGCCCTTAGGGTGGGGAAAGTGGACTCTTGAGGGAGGAGAGGTCTGCGAATAATTCCTCAAGGGTTGGCTGAAGAATAAACACTTTGAGGACGTTCCGGGGAGCGGCGGGGGGGGGAGCCGGGGGGGGAGGTTCCTGGAGGGAGGAGGTCAGGGAAAAAGTCCCCCCCTCTCCATTTTGGCGGCCGTGCTGGTGGGGCCTCAATTTGGAAAGGACCCTACATAGGTGGGGAAGGGCACAGCAGGTCGGACGGGGGCATCGTAGGCGGTGCAGCCGCGCTTAAATATGGTCGCCTGGTCTGGCTGGATGCCTGCTCCCCGCAGACCCCTCAGCGCACCCAGGCCCTCTGACTCACCTAAGCCTGCCGGACAGCTCGGAGGCGCGGCCGCAGAGCGGAGCCGACGGGCGGAGCCTCCCGGACAGTTGGACCAGGTAACGGCGCAGGAAGCGTGCCCGAGGTGCGGACGGCCAGGCAGCTGGAGCGAGCGGAGGCGGCGGCCGCATTTAACCCGGGGGCTGGCGGGTGGGGAGGGGAACGCGGGCCGCGACCCCTCCCACTGGTAGGGAGCGACTCCCCTTCCTCCAAGGGCTGGGGCGGGGCCAGCGCGGCGCCCCCTGCTCCCGCCACCCCTGGAGCCGCAGACGCCAGCTGCGGGGCCGGAATCGGGCTACGGTTGGAGGCTGGGCGGCTACGCTCTCCGCAGCTGGAATGCGTTGGAAGCCTCCGAGGCCCTTCCCCGGGGAGAGCCCCAAGGGGCGGAGCGGGGCCTGGCTCGGCCGCCGGCTGCTTGGCTCCGCTTCCGAGGGCGCGGCCCGGCTCTTATCCCCCGCCGTCCCCTCCAGGGGTGGGGAGAGGTCCCGCGCTCTGATCCTGCGAAGAGGGTAGCCTCAGGGTTCATTGCTCTTCCCAGGCCCCACCTGGTAGTCCCTCAAATTCCGCCATCACCGACGCCTTTCCACGGTCTCTGCAATTACTTAGGTCTTGGGCCCATCACCCTCACCCATCAAAACTCCCAGGCGAAGACGCCACCAGGCCCCTAGGCTCTAACTGGCCCACTCCACAGGGCCGATGGAGGCCCTGTAATCAGGAGAAGGAAAGCTAAGACAGCAACAGGCACCTTCTCTTGGGAGAAAGGGGGCTGAGAGTGTTGCTTTAACCTGGAAAAGACGAAAATATTCCCCCAGGATCCTGGGCACACAGTTTGGGGGCCCATCCATTTTCCCAGGCATCTGCAGGTACGCGAGAGAGCACTCTGGTCCAGGGGTCCAGCAAAAGCTCCCCCCCCCATCACGACTGCACCGGGGTGGGTCCCCCCAGGGTGCAGGGAAGCCAGGCGCCCTCACAAACTCTGCCTCCATCACAAGACCGGCACAAGCGGGGCCTTTGTGGCTCTGGGGCCTCTCCCCAGTGCTCCAGGCTGCAATGGGAGTGGAGCCAGACTTGCAGAATGGCGCCTGGGTGGTCCCGGGTGGGCTCCAGGCAGACCTCAGTGAGCACCACGCAACCCAAATATTTAGCCGACAGCTTGCCCCCAAGTCCCCTCCCTTGCCTAAGGCTTCTTCTCTTTGACCCCGAGGGGGCAGACCTAGAACAGTCCCTTCCTCCCATTCATTGCATTCCACCTGCCCCCTTCGGGCGCGCTATGCCACCTCGCCCCTTGACGCTCCCTGCTGTGGGCGGCCGGTCTGTCCCCACTCCCAGGTCATCCCCAGAGCCCGCCGCGGTCCTGAGGGAAGGTGTGCGCCAGTGCCTACAGCAACAGTGCGAGCAGACGGTGCGGATCCTGCACGCCAAGGTGGCCCAGAAATCATATGGAAATGAGAAGCGGTAGGTCCCTCAGTGGCCCTCCAAGGTCCCTGCGACCCGACCTTCTGCCCTGTGTGCCCCTCCCTTTTTAGTGTCTTTTAGAACCTGGAGAGGACTCAGGGCTCAGCTATTGGCCAATCAGGGGCCTTTTCCTTCAGCCACCATCAGCCCTGACTTCGGTTTATAGCAGAACCTCCCTGTGAATCTCTAGTCCCCATTCACTCCCTCATTCACCCATTCATTCATTCTTTCATTCCACAACTACCTACTGAGTGCTTATCATGTGTCAGGCTCTCTGGCACTGCTGGGCACCGGGCATACAGTTGAACAAGACAGCTATGGTCCCTGCACTCCTGGCATCTTCACTGTCGTGTGGGAGAGACAGACAATAAACTCCTCACGAATCAGTAAACAAGAGGCTTCCAGATTGTGGTGAGAGCTAGAAGGGAAATAGAACCAGGAAAGGTGATAGAAACTGAGGAGCGGGGATGTACTTTAGCTAGCAAGGTCAAGGTGGTAGAAAGACCCTTTAAGGAGGTGACATCTGAACTAAGACTTGAATGTGAAAATGGAGCCAGACATGAGAAGATCATGGGGAAGCGTGTTCCAATTAGAAGGAACAGAAAACACAAAAACCTTGACACAGTACTAGCTTGGCCTGTTCCAGGACAAAAGAAGTCAGAGTGGCTGGGATTAGAGAAAGAGGTGGGCATTGCAGGAAGTAAAGTTGGAGAGGCAAGCAGCGGCCAGATCATGTGAGGACTTTGAATTTAAACGGCTGGAGGATTTTAAGAAGATGAGTAACATAGTCTAAAAAAATTTTTTTAAAAACACATTCTGGCTGCTGTGTGAAAAACAGGTTGAAGCGGGTAGGAGTGGAAGCAGAGAGGCCAGTTGGAAGGCTGATGCAGAGGTCCAGGCAAAAAGCTATGGCAGTAGGGACTAAGGTGGAGGTGGTGAGAAGTCAGTGGATTCTGGATATGTTTTAAAGGGAGTGGATAGGACTTACGGATGGATTGAATGAGGAATGTGAAAGAAAGAAAGATTCGGGTGTTCATGGGGTTCACAGTCATGGAGAAGCCTGGG